ACTTGTCCATTCGCTTTTGGATGCGCAGGGGACGAACTGAGGTGGCTTATACCAAGTTTTCTGCAAAAGTCCTTGAACTTTGCATTGTCAAATTGTTTTCCGTTGTCCGTCACGATAGCATTTGGTATGCCAAAGCGGCACACAATGTTTGTCCATATGAACGATGTGACTCTGGACTCTGTGATGTGGGATAGTGCCTCGGCTTCAGCGCACTTAGTGAAGTAGTCCACAGCGACAACGGCGAACTTTGTTTGTCCTTTGCCCAGAGGAAAAGGACCTATGATGTCCACCCCCCATTGCGCAAATGACCATGAGGCCGAGATGGGGGTGAGCAGTTCGGGAGGTTGATGGATAATGTTTGCGAAACGCTGGCAGTTGTCACAAGCTTTCACAAACTGCTTTGCATCCTGCTCGACACTGGGCCAATAGTACCCTTGTCGAACCACCTTGGCCGACAACGACCTGGCGCCAGAGTGGTTTCCACACACCCCTTCATGAACTTCCCTAAGAATGTAAAGGCCTTCTTCGGGAGTCACACACTTGAGGAGAGGTACACGAAACAGCGGTCAACAGTAACGCAAAGATTTAAGAAATAAATTCAGATTTGCTTAAAAACAAATGTAGCAGCTAGAGATCCGATCTCAAGTCAGTTACAGCATATGAACCTCCCTCGAAATGGGGTTTAGCTCATAATGAGTGAAAAAGAGCAAAATGGAAGAAGAAGAAATACAACCCATACCAGAAAATTAGCTAAATGACAGAAAAGAAGAGCAGTCAGCGCAAAGCAGCAGACGAGCTTCCCCTTTCTGGCATCAGCTCTCCTCCCGAAAATGGGTATATTCCCTTCCTTGGTCTTTTCGGCCCTCACATTTTGTCTCCCTTGGGCTCTGTGTGTCTGGCGGTTAGGGCAACATGCCCCTTTTATATCGAGTTCTAAATTTAGGGAACCCAGCCGAAAATTGTACGGACACGGTAAATCCCGTGTTTTTGGAATTAACTGTACGGTCACTCCATGCTGCATCGCTATGCTCCAGCTTTTATATGCTCTGTCTTGAAAATGCTTTGACTACTCTTCTCTAGTTTAGCACTTCCTTCTCTTCTTAGCTCTTTAAAAATCTGTGCAAATGAACCACAAATACGAGAGTTTATGCTGTTTTTGGCCAGAGTTCTCAAGACTAAGGATATTTAGCTAAGAATTTACATTTTAACACTATTCATGCTCATTATGACCTAAAACCGACACACTTTGACATTTTAATGCACATTTTCACCCAAATAAATACCAGAATAACTCTCTCGAGTTATCAAAACTCTTCCTCTATGTGGAGATGAGCTAAGATGAAAATTCTTCTTCTATGTTGGGACAAACTATCTGATGTAAGCTCTTACTCTAATCGGGGATGAGCTGCTTAATCGAAGCTCTTTCTCTAATCAAAGTCGAGCTGATATGGAAGCTCTTCCTCTATGTTGGGATGAGCTATCTGATGTCACCTCTTATTCTAACTGCGGATGAGCTGCTGGATCGAAGCTCTTCCTCTAACTAGGGTCGAGCTGATATGGAAGCTCTTCCTCTATGTAGAGATGAGTTGAGGTGGAAGCTCTTCCTCTATGTTGGGATGAGCTATTTGATATTAGCTCTTACTCTAACCGAGGATGAGCTGTTGGATCAGAGCTCTTCCTCTAACCAGGGTCGAGTTGATATAGAAGTTTTTCCTCTATGTAGAGATGAGTTGAGGTGGAAGCTCTTCCTCTATGTTGGGATAAGCTATCCGATGTCAGCTCTTACTCTAACCGAGGATGAGCTGCTAGATCGAAGCTCTTACTCTAATCGGGGTCGAGCTATGAAAGTTCTTCCTCTATATAAGAATAGCTGAGATGGATGCTCTTCTTCTATGTTGGGATGAACAATTTGATGTCAGCTCTTACTCTAACCGAGGATGAGTTGTTGGATAGAAGCTCTTGCTCTAATCGGGGTCGAGCTAATATGAAAGCTCTTTCTCTACGTAGAGATGAGTTGAGATGGAAGCTCTTCCTCTATGCTGGGATGAATTGAGATAAAAACTCTTCCTTTTGGCAAGGATGAGCTATCTTGATGGAAGGGGGCTTATTCTCGGAAGGAATGTCATCCTCGAGGGATGATCCTTCTTAAGCGGAAGGTCTTCCTCATGGGAGCAGGTCTTCCTTGAGAACGGGTCTTTCCTCGAAGAGATGGTCTTGAACATGGAGATCTTGTTAAAAACAAATTTGAAAAAAAAAACACACAGAAACTAGAAACTATAACATATATTTAGTTGTTTTCCTCTATTTTGTCATTTGCAATGATCAATATATGCATTATGAGTTCCAATATTAAAGTGGTATAGAATTGTAAAGCTCTATTTTTTTCACAATCGGTAATAAACGCATCCAATTCACGTGAAATTTTAAAGTTTTATTTTCGAAAATGAAGTTTAATGATTTTGATTATATATTAACTATTAAAAAATCTTTAAAATTATTTCTAAAAAAAATCTTCAAAATTATACTAAGTTTTAATTTTTCTAGAAATATTTATTTTATAGAGATAATAGATAAATACCTTTCACATTCTTTTTCTTTTTCTTTTTTTTGCATTTTTGAAAATGCTTTTGTATTTTTTTCTTTTCGAATATCTATACTATCATTGTATTTTAAATTAAGGCATAAAACCATGCTATATTTTTTTCTTATCTTATCTCTTTTGGTAATGGTAAAATGCCTTTTTTATCTCCTTGCAGTTTGGACAATGGGTGGATTTCATCCCTAAGTTTTTAAAATCCTAAAATTAAACCACATAAAGTTTTGGAAATAATCAATTTTTTTGTTAGCTAAATTAAAAGAAAGATGGTGTCATACTTTATAATAAAAATAACTAATGTGGCATCATCTTATACAATTAAAAGTAACAACAATAAGTAAAACACCCTCTCCCTCCCTACTTTAGTCGTTGTCACTGAGGATGAAAAAAAAAAGCCCGCAGAACTCAATCTCTATGGATATTCAATCCAATTGGGTCAAGGAATCTCCAATTTAACCAGGGAGGGGTCAAACTAAGGATCCTAATCGAGGTCCCCAACGGGACGGGGAGGTCTCATTGCCTCATCCCCATTTAATATTTTAGTAAATTTTATATTTTATATATAATAACATTAATATATATATTAATTTTTTTTAATTTTTTTTAAATCTCAAATCCAATAGCCCAGTTAACCTCTTTTTCTTTTCTCAAAGGAAAAAGTTTATATTTTTAAACTAAAATATTTATAAAAATAAATAAATAAATATGTATATATCGGGGATGGGGATGGTCCCCCAGCCTCGACCCCACCCCATTGCCATCCCTAGTTGTCGCCCACCCTGCTGCTGCACCTTACCCATGCCAGACCAGAAATTGGCATACTCCATGCTGCACCTTACCCATGCCAGACCAGAAATTGGCATACTCCATGCGACAAAATCAAACAAGTCTAATCATCACAAGATTTTTAACATATGAAACTTAATCATAACATTTTCCATCATCACCTAGAAATACAAAAACTATTTTTTTTTTCTTTCTATAAATGAAAAACCAAGCTTTCATCGAGACTAAAATACGTAGACTAATACTACGTTTTAATCGATCGCTTTTGAACTTTTACAGGCAAAACATACACAAGACAAAAGGAAATGCTCACCCCCTACTCCCACACACACAATATAGTATTTTTAGCAGTTCAAACTTGATCTGACCAGAAAATGTTGTCTTGTTTTTGCAGGGCTGCCACCAAAATGTTGTGTTCTGATTACATAATGAAACAAAGTTACAGAGCATAAAGTAACTGCTGTAGTTGGCCCCTAGATCTTCATCTTGAAGATTCAGAAAATGACAACTCGAGTATAACTAACCACCCCAATGGCCACATCAATGCTGAATGGATCCTATTCAAACTCCATATTTCGAGTCAGATTCGAAACCTTGGAGGTGGTCAGTAAATGGTGACTGCTAAGCGACTAAAATACGTCTACATTTGGTCTTGTTTACTACCTAATTTCTATAATGATTACAATCAATCAACAACTCAAATTTTTTCATACCAGTTAATGTGGTGATGTCGGTGTCGATACAGCAGCTACTTCCTAACGAAACAGCTCTTCTCACCATGGCCTCCCTTTTCCTCCTAACCGGCGTGCCAGTTCAAAATCCTTTTTCACTGAATGGAAAGAACAAAGGAAATGGATAACATTCAGAGGATCAGCAAACAGCTTGGAATAACACAGATAAGATCTAGAATGAGGCAGACACTTAAAACATAACACAGTTCATAATTATGTTAAAACGTGTATTATCTGACTATTTTTCAAGTCATACTGATTACCGAACCTGGGAGTATCCAGTTCTAATGTACAAATACGAAAAAAGTGAAGGAAAAGGGAAGAATCACGATGACTCCAAAATTAATTGAAAAGAAATTTATTCGGTATTGGCCAGGCAAACAATCCATAATGGCATAATCATTTCCTAAGACATGAAGCAATTTAAAGATGCATACAATGTTGGGCCAAAAGAAGCGAACTATCTTAATCCATATAGCTTGCTTTTGGATTCATGACCATTGTGTAGAAAAATCAAATGTCGTCATCAAAAGCCTAATTGAAACAGAAAGGAAAAATGTTTTCCCTCTTCAGTTTAGTGCCTTATCTTTAATTTGAATCTTAGAGTTCTAATTTCAAAAGTTACTTCAATCATCAAATTCATACAAAATAAAACCTCAATTTTTCATATCATACCATGAAATGATCAAATATTATAATTAAACAGTCTTGGTTTGTTTCTTTACTCTTGTTACCGGCTAGAAACTTAGACTAGCCAGAAAAAAGTATATTTTTACAATATTGTAGAGTCACTACTCGCTCTTGCCTTCAATCACTATATAAGTTTCAACATAATTGCTTTTCTTAAAAATAATCTCTTTAATAGTACATCAGATAATATCACCCAAAACGAAGTGGGAGGAAGCTGGTGCAGTGGGTACAAGACAACTATGGTAATGTTACACACAATTTCTTAACAATATGGTAGAAGGTTGCAAAATTGAACCACTTGATTCGTGTAAATTCATGCTTTAAGAAAGAAAACCTTCAAATTATTTCTAGCATTGAATTCAAATAAATAATACTTCGACGAGGAAAAAGTAGCTTTCCATAATAAAATTGGAATTGAACTCAAACACACAAAGAATTGACTTACTGATAGTTACACGTTTGGCATGAATAGCACATAGCATTGTATCTTCAAATAGATGAACCAAAAAATCTTCTGCTGCCTACAGATGAGAGAAGGAAGAAGTTTAATAGGATAATTTTACTTGGTCTTATGAAAACAGAATCAAAAGCAGACTCATACAACTAGCCTTCATATAATCAGGTCATACAAAGTGAGATTGCACATACAGCAAAAACTGAACAAGGCCGGTAAGATGTTTGTTTCAGAATAAATATATTTTCTATTTAACAGCAAAAACTGGAGAAACTAACTCGAAAACAAAATCATAAAAACATACACGTAAAGTGAGAATAAATATCATGGTAATTCACTCGCCCATAATATATTGTAAATGACACCAAGTATTCAAGCCCCAGGCAACAGGTAATGGATAAAAATAAAACAGTGAGTCAATGAACAAATACAAACAGGACAAGAATAAATTAAGACTAAAACAATTGACAACAGGATAAAGCTTGTAACTTATTTTAAATGCTTGTAGATAGAAAAGTCGAGTCCAAACCAGAGTTTCAAAGGAAACATGAAAAGGTTTGACATTTTCACTTCGTTCTCATCTTTAAGAAACAATGTGATTCGAGTTATCACTTATCAAAGAGAAACAGAATTTACAGTTTAGTACCAAATCCAACCATCTGAACTAGATGAGAACAAGATGAGCTTAAAAATAAACTGCCCATGTACTTACTGGAGTTCCTAGAGGCACAATTAGATATTAAAGTAAAGTCATGACACACACAAGATGCTTTCAACCGCTAGCCCCAAGACAATAAACTAAAACCACCAACATTTCTACTATGTTTCGTAACAGAAAAGTTTTGGGGGAAACCAAAGGTATTTTAATTTTAAAGCAGAAGATCTAAAGCTTATAATATCAATCAAGAGTTGAACAATAGCTGGTGAGAAAACACAAGCACACTCCCACAACAAAAAACATTCTCATAAATGAAATTCATGTTCAATTATCTTAGTAAGTTACAGCGACAAAATCCTATGCCACTTATCCTGTAAACTCAAGGAGGCTAGAAAATTTGCTATGCAAAGAAATCAAATAAAGGAGAATCATTTAGAGTGCACATTTCACAGAAAAATTTAGAACATACTTAACAAATAGCAAAAAGTGTCAACAAACTGCTGGACATGATAGAATGACAAGTTGCAACAATCAGAAAAATATTATTAGCTTGAAATTCCAAATGTCATTTCCAAAAAAGAGAGCGTAGTATAAAGGAACAGAAGCTGCTTCCTAGTAAATTCAAAGTGGAGGACATAATTCTTCTCATTAATGTAGACAGATATAGCAAGGCTAACTAAAGCCATAGAAAAGAAGCAATTACTTCCTGAAGAGCTATTAAAGCTTCAGCTTGCCACCGCGTAATCTCTGGAGCTAACTGGTAGCTTACTTCTTTTACCTACAAAGGTTTTAAATATCACCATCACATGATAAAATATCAAAAGAAACACATATTGATTAAGTACAAAATGAGTACTTAATGTGTTGCTCTTTAAGAACTCAAAGCTAACAAAGCCCCATTTGAGAACAAGGGGATTCTTTTCGTCAAGCTGATTGTCTAGCTATTGTGTATGGCATGAGGACTGGGGCTTAGCAGATTTCAATGCCCTACTATGGGTTTCAACAACTAAGTTTTCTTGGTATCCGCTTCCTTTTTATTATGGGTAATTGAAGTTTTTATCTGCAAAGCTAAGTATAGGGTTCTTTTGTTAAGTATACTTTTCTGACCATTCATTCCCAGTGTGACTCTGTATGATTTTATCTTTGGTAGGTAGCTCCTGTGAAGTTCCACATTTCTTGATTGAAGTTCTATTTTCCATCCAAAAGAAACAATCAAAGAAATATATAAAGTAAACTAGAAAAGGAATAAATGCACCAATACTGCCATGCAATAGGAAACATAAAAGATTGGCTATCTAAAAAATCACATAGCATCCTTAAACTGCATTAAGATCATTCTATATAACTGTGTCACAAGCTAGGTTACAAGTACTCGTCGGGAGGGAGTATGAATCCAAATATGGGACTTTTCTCTTGAATTGTTTCTCATATTTGGAGTTTCATTCGTCTAGAGTCTCTACACGGAGAATGCATATTCCTATTATCTAGTAATTGAGCCAGGGGCTAACTACCTTTTGCTACTTAATCAGTTAGTGAAAACAGAAATGCAAGGGTCTCCTTGTATCCAACTGAACACAAGAAAACAAACTCACTGCTCGGATGAAACTGCTAGCTGGAATTAGCAGATTCCATGTCTTTTGGAATTGCCGAATTTCCCTCAATGCAACTGTCCCTGGCCTGAACCGTCTTTTCTTCCCAGATGTCCTTGCTGGTGGACCTATAATAAAAAATAATAATAATTAAGCAATAAAAAACTAGAAATAAGACGTAACATAAAACAAGCTAGTTGAAGAAGCATATTCGGACAGCATCACTATAACCAAAATCAAAATGTTATTGAAACAAAGGTGAAAAAAAGAGTGAATGGAAGAACTCACTTTGAGCTTGCCTCACATTTTGTGTTCTTCCACCAAGTGGCTTTACATTTCAAGGAAACAAATAATGATTAGTCAATTATATAAAATTAATTGCACCGAAGTATTCAAAGCAAGCTCTCTACAACCATAGGCTTTAAAAATAAAACTTGTAGCAACTCCAAACCCTGTAATTTAACAAGGCAAGGTACATCCATTTGGGAAGTTCTTTTCCTTGTGTACTCTAGCGCATCTACTGCCGGCTGCATCAGCCTATGTACCTTAATGGAAAATTATGGAAAAGACTTTCTTTCTAATTAGGGAATCCCTCTAAGTATAATTGAGAGTTGTAGACATAAGATGTTCTCTAATCAAATCCAAATTGCTATATGGAACCAAGTCTCCCACATCATGGGTTGCAAAAGCTACATCCTCACAAATAGAAATCTTGTCACAAGTTTGGGTAGCCTGATGCAATATCAAACAACCCCAACCAGACAACATACTTCCTCAAGTGAGACCTTCCTTTTATTTTTTTGGATAAGAAACTTTCATATTAAAATAAACAAAAAAGGGGAAACAAGCTAGGGGCTGGGGTAGAGGGAACCCCACCCAACTGAAACTAGACAAACGCTTTCCAATTGCTCATGAACAAGGAAAGGTTGTAATTAAAAAAGAATTTCCTCTAATTAGTACACCACCAAGAAGAAGAGTAGATCTGTCCTCGAAAACCCAGGCGTTCCTTTCTAACCATAGATGTCATAGGAGAGCTCTTGAGGCACAGTTCCACACAACTTTAGCCTCTTTAGGGAGCCACCAGCCTTGTAGGACTTCTGAAAGCCAATCCTCAATCTGCTTGGGAAGACAAATGGAAATGCCAAAGAGGTTTAAAATGAAATACAAGCTTCTAGACGCAAAAGGGCAGTGGGTGAAAAGGTGGTCCAAAATGAAGGGCAGCGAGACCTTCATTTTAAACCATGTATGCATTATTGGACACCCAACTCTATCCCTTTTACTTTTCTTTATTGATCATCTAAACTAAACCCTAAACCCTTTAACCATTCATGAATGGCTTGACTGGTGGAGTAACTTCTAGAAGGCAAGCACGGCTTTGGGTAAAGTAAAATCATTTGATTTTGGCCATTCGACCACCACATATACTATGGTTGAGATCTCATCGAAGCAAACTTGCTGAGTGAGGCCAATAATGCATTTAAGAACGGAAACTTGAAATGCAAGTAGATAACTTAATATTGCCATTTAACCTCACCTTTGCCACATAGAACACTGGGGCGAAAACCTATGAGACCAAAATTTAATAATTTATTCTCTCTTCTCAGCAAGATGATGAGGAAGACATGAGGTTCTTTTTCCTTAATTTGGAGCAGAAAATGTACGTCAAAAATGGAAAATAATGGCAAATTCTCATTTCCAAAAGTTCTTAAGTCACCGTTTCAGCTGCTGAAACCAGATTTCACAAACCCATGACCTGAAATCTCACTAACTCCTTTTCCATCATACATAACCAAAGAAAGAGACATTGTCGAAGAGTGAAAGAAGCTACATTCAGTAAACATTCACTGAAGTCACAGCACGAAAAGCAAAAAGCTTAACATTGATACAGATAGCAAGAAAGAGATACCGTCGATGGCCCAGCTGGGGAAGACGGTGCAACTCCAGAACCTACGATTTTACACAGAGAACGAGAAGCTGTGAGAAATAGGAGAAATTCAAAAACAGAGACAAGAGCCGGAAAATTGCTGCCCCAACATCCAAAAACGTAAAAAATAAACACAAATTGTTGCGAGCATACGTGTAGAAGAGAGAGGGAGAACCTAGTGGCTTGCGATTTGCGTTCCTTTGAGCTGGATGCCTGGCTCGCGCCATTGACGCGAAGTTAAAAGCAGAAAGAGCTTGCTCAAATTTGGCTGATCAGAGGAGAAGAAGAAAAGAAGTGACTCAACAAAATTTCCCTCTATTACACTTCGCTCCTCTTCGTTTATTTCAAAAATGGGGTGAAACACAGGTCTCGTTCCGGCCGTTCCTAATTTTTCTAGAAAAAGATAAAATTTTAAAATAATCTAGTTTTAAAAATAAATTATAAAAATAATAACAAAATAAATACAATTTAAATAGATAAATTCAAAAGTAAAGTAGCTTTTTAAAACTATTAACAAAAGTAGGTTTGGTCAGAAGGAAAGTCAAAACTCGTATACAATGTTTACGATTTTCGTGCAAACGTGTATTTGACGTGGCAGGTGAGTAAGTAGAAGTCGCATAGATTGTAGGCGATTTTCGCCTGCATCGTACGCGACTTCCGCTTTTTTATTTTTTTTATGTTGAAGTCGCATACATTGCAGGCGACTCCAATCTTTTTATTTTATTTTTTATTTTTGTTTTTATATTGTTATTTTATTAATATTGCAAAATTTAATTAAGATGTGATTAAGTGTTTTTTTATTTTTGTTATTATATTTTAAATTTAGATTAAAATATCATTTAAAGTTTTGAAAGTTTACAATTGGATAAAAATCAATTCGATGAATTATAAACTTGTATTTTCGTGTTTTTATATTATAAAACGAATGGTTGTAGTATCAAATTTTATAATTATTAACTTTTAAAATAAAGTCACAGTATGTTTAAAGAAAAAAAAAACACTACAATTTATATAAGTATCACCATTCAAACTTCAATTAAACTAAGATTATGTCCGGTAGATCTTTAAATTTAAAAAGTATCTAATAGGTCTCTAATCTCCAATTTGTGTCTTATAGGTATTTCAATTTCAAAGGGTGTCTAACATATTTATAAACTTTCAAATTTAAGTATAATAATTTCGTAAAAATTTAAAATTTGTATTTAATAAATCCTTCATCTAATATTTAAAAAAAATCCACGATTTGATAATAATTTTGCGTCAATTATACCAATTAAATTTTTTATAATATTAAATATATTAGGAAGCCCAAGCCTGCGACTTTCCTGAAATCGCATTCCTTCCCTGCAATTTATCTATACTAGTTTTGTCATTTATTTTTTAAAAATAATTATTTAAAAAAAATCCTTAGAAAAAAAGGAATGTGTTTGATAACTATTTATATTTCTTATTTCTTAAAAAAGAGACAGAAACGAAAAGGCATGTTTATTTTATTTTATTTCTTTAGTCGAATGTTTTTTTTTAACTATTTTATTTAATAACAAAATTAATTAATAAAGTTACCAACGTTTTGTTGTTACATTTCAAGTCGTTATTTAACAAAATTCTTTTTTTCTGTTCCCTTTCATTAACAAAACTCAATCTTTTATTTTTTTTCCTCCAATTAGTTCCCTAACTTTCTTATATGCCTCCTCTTTTGTGCTTTACAGGAGGTAAGGATTTTTTTACCCACGTTTACTCTACTCCCACTATCTCTCTTTTTACTCTTATTACTCTTGTACGTTGTCTTTATTTCATTTTTCCCTAAATTTATATTGCAAATTTCTTGAAATGGAGAGGTCAGAGAGGAAGGATTGAAATCTTACTAAATTACTCAAATTCTTCCCTTTTAAGTTTGTTCGCTGTATCTATAAAAAAATTCATCTAGTGAAATTACAGCCTACAGGGTTATTCTTCCTCCAAAAATCTCCATGGAATTTTCACTAAAGGTTTGTAGTCTTCTTTATCTTTCAATTTACAAAAGGATTCTTTTGGTTCGTGTACTTTTAGCTATGGTTCATTTTGGTTCCTATACTTTGAATACGTGTCAAAATTAATTGACAAATAGTTCTTTTACCAGTAAATTAACAACAATGACCAAAATGAACATTTCCAAAGTGCAAGGACTAAAATGAACCATAGTTAAAAGTACAGGGAACAAAAGAGTATTTTAACATTTACAAAATGTATGTCATGATATTGGTAGGAGAATTTAATTATGTTTTTTATTTTATGGTAAAGAATTTCATGGATGGAATATGAGTGTTTTAATATCTTCTTAGTTTTAAAAAGTCTCGTTTAGTATTCTGTTAATATTTTCTTCCATGTATATTCTGTCTATCTTATTTTGTTATTTATTTTTTCTCCACGTCTATTTTGGTTACTAAATCAATTCCATAAATTTGAAATTGGAATAAAGGTAGAATTTGTTTAATCGATTTGCTAATTCTTTTTCCATGTCTATTCTATTTAAAATTTGAAGGTATGAGATATGCATTAATTTTTGTGATTTGAATAATCTACAGATAATTGCAGTAACGTTTCTCTGCATAGGTTTTTCCTTTCCTCTTAAAATGTCGTGAATACACTAATT